TAGGGCAGGAGAGAAGAGCAGAGGAACAGAGAAAAGAGGAGAGCAGAGGAAAACAGTAAGGAGAGGACAGAGTGGGGAGAAGAGAAGAGGAATGAAAAGGAGAGAAGAGGAAAGGCTAAAAGAAGGAGAGAGAAAACATGAAATCATATAAAAGAGAAGCATATAAAACAGGGAGATAAAAAGTGGAGAGGAGAAAGAAGAGAAAAAAAAGAGAAGCTAGAAGAATGTAGAAGTGAAAAAAGGGGAACAGAGAGATGAGGAGAGGACAGAAGAGGAAAGGAGAAGAGTGGTGGAGAGGAGAGGAGATAGAACAGGAGAGGTTAGAAAAGTGGAGGAGAGCTGAAAAATATGGAGAGAAAAAGAGCGGGGAGGGGAGGAGAGAAGAGCAGAGGAAAACAAGGAGGAGAGGAACAAAGAGGAGAAGGGAGAAGAGAAATGAGGAGAAGAGTGAAGAGAGAGGCGCATTGTGTGCATTGGTTGGGCGACGTATGATCAGGTGTAAGGAGCAATATTGTAAAATGAGACGTTTGGATTTGTATGGACATCGGGCGACGGTTTGCCATTGTTACCACCAGAATGGTAGCCGGGTCTTTGCCGCACGGTGGGAATATTTAGGGAAGAGACGACGCTACTTTTAGTACCTCGGCTCTTATTAGAACGTAGCAGATCTTCCCATCACCTCTGTAGAAGGAATTGTTTAATTTCCACAGGGGGGAAAAAGACATGGAATTAAAATCCGCCCGCTGAGAGAATCCGGGGTGCGGAGTGAGCGTCGTCTTCCCCTCCATTCATACATGGTGTTATGTACAAAGACAAACAATAATTAAAATGTGTCACCACTGGAGGGCCGCCATGAGGAAGGAACGAGACCACGGCACGTCTGTGCAGAATGAAGAGGAGCTGATGGGGTCACTTTCTGTAGGCCGCTGGGCTAGTGTTGCCACCTGTACAGGATTCACCCGGACAGTTCGGGTTTTGAATGCTGTGTTCGGGTTTCATATCAGCAGAAACCCGGACACATGATG